TCTTTCACGAGGGCTTCTAAAACTGGTTAAGCGCGGTGGTGGTGTTGCACAAGGGGCGCAGAGTTATGAGGGGCCCATCAAGTGCGACGGCCAGCATCGCTTTCGCTATCATGGCAGGTACCGGAGGGTCTCGCTCTGCGATCCCGGTTTCAACGTTCTTCTCGCAGAAGCCGCACCGTAATGGGTCGCTGTCTTAACTTTGTGATAAAGCCTTTTGTAGCTGTAGTTGAACAGGATGCTGTCTCTATGTAAGTAAGCGAAAGCGATGCTGGCCGTCGCACTTGATGGGCCCCTCATAACTCTGCGCCCCTTGTGCAACACCACCACCGCGCTCCACCAGTTTTAGAAGCCCTCGTGAAAGAAGTACGTACTGGGCCATTCGGCACCACCAACACCGGAATGCACTTTGACGGGGTTTGAGTGGGTTGATTGAGATTGCGAGACCCTCCGATAGCTCCCATCCACCTACTGCCCAGCACTTCCAGCCCCCTTCCCCCTCCTGTGACCCGCCTGTATCTTGCACTGCATGCCACCGCGTTATTCAGCTCCTTCACTCTCCCCCTCTCCCCACATCGTGAAGGGATCCAACCCCCCATCTGTAAACCGCCGCAACACAAACTTGCTCCCAGAGCAGCTATCTGGCGCAGAGCATCAACGGGTGTGCTGCCCTCGCGTCACTCACGCGAGGCCCCTGCCGTACCCAACCACCACCCAACTGCCTGTGCACATCTTCGCCCTGTTGCTGTGCCTCCTCAGCCGCCAGCCCTTCCCTGTCCCACATCCCGCCAACAAACCCCCATTCCCCATTTCCCCCACGACCCCCCGGCTCACCCACAAGCACCGGTCGTGCTGCCTTCAGCGCCACCTTAGCCGCCAGCTTGCCGCCATCCACCACCACGTCCTCCAGCCGCCACCACAACCGCTGCGCCCGCCCCAGCCGCTTGGTCACTTGGCGCAGCGCCGCCTGGGGCGCCCCCAGCACCCGACCGACCAGCTGGCCCCCCCGGTGCAGCAGGTTCGGAGGCTGCGGCGACACACCTGAGGCGACATTTGTGTACGGGGGGGTGGGTGGCGAATGAACATGGGGGAAGAACATGGCTTCGGAGAACGGGTCGGTGGCAGAAAAGCGTTGGGTCCTAGGCATTGTTTTCCCACCAAGATGACGGGTATGTATGTACGTACGGGGCGCTGCGGCCTGTGGCGCTGTACTGGCGACTGCAAGACGCGGGCTCTCCTAGCCGCGGAAGAGATGACACTGCTGCCACCTCCGCTTCGGGTGACAGTATTGCCGCCAGCACCACTGCGGCGGCCACCAGCCGCATTACCGCGGCGAGCCACACCTAAAGGAAGACAGCATGTACTAAAGGCAGTACGGCTGCCAGTACGATACTCCGCCGCCGCATCCCCCCGCTCGCCATTCGTGGCCGCTACGAAATGTGGAGTGCTTTATTTCATCGCCGAGGTGTGTGCCGTGGGTCCAGCTCTTAGCGGGATGCTGCCGCTCACAACAACCGCCAGCGGGGATCCCCTTTAGGCTGCCGTTCACCAACCGTCAAACCGATGAACGGCAGGGACTCTCACTCCCATAGGGGGTTCACTGAACGGCTCCTGAAGCAGAGCCCCGCGCCAATAGCTCTGCTTGGTGACGTAGTAGTCACGCTGGCGGCCGGGGGAGGCGCCTTTGTCCTTGGATCTCCGGGGGCATGTGTGCGCGAAGCTATGTGCTGTGGTGCAATCAACAGCCGATAGGCTCAGGAGCTACTATACTGAGCCGACTCCGTCCCCTCCGGCCCTTACACAATCCCTCGGCTGCACCCTGAGCTGCTGAAATCCTGTTCCTGTGATCTTTCCCTTCGCCGGACACCCTTTGGGTGTCCATGCCTTGTCTTACCTGCCACTCGGATCAGTTGCCCGACAAAGATCTGCAGGATGTCGAAGGGGTCCAGGGGCGTTTCCGTGGCCTCCACTGCTCCGGTGGCCGCGTCAAGCGCAGGAGACAGCGTCTCCTCCACGCCGCGGAACCAGCTGTTGTAGCGGTTCACTACACGAGCGCGCTTCAGAATTGCCTCCACGTCCTTCGCCAGGGACTCGTCGGTCCAATGCAATTCGGTCGCGCCCGTCTCATCTTCAGCCACAACCACTTCAGCCACCTCCCTTAAGTCATCGGGCAGCACGGCGCTACCGAGCTGCGGGAATTACCATGGATGCGTGAGGTCGTGCATATTGCGGATATGACCGGCTATGCGAACCCATTGGCAAATCCAGCAAGCCTGCTGCCCACGACGCTCACCAGGAGGCCAGAAACATTGAGCCGGCCGCGCAGCTTGCCCAAGTCCACTGCGCTGTCCGAGGATGAAGTGTCAAATCCGATAGACAAGGACGACGACACACCCTGCGAAAATGAAATTGAAAGTATGTACCGACGCACCGTAGAGGCTGGTATTATTGCATGCTGGATGTTCCTCACCTCGGCGGCGTCCTCAACCTCCACCGCCACAACGTGTCTGAATTGGTGCAGGCTTAGTACAGATTCAATTGATTCAGACACTAATTTTGCATAAGATCGCAGGACATCCTGTAGCTGTTCATCCTCCACGCCCTGCAACGACAGCCGTGAGCAAATCTTTCGCTGCGTAGCCAAGCTAGGGGGGTGCCATCTTGTCAACAAAACTTACGGATGCTAGTCCCTCGCCACCATCGTTCCATAGCACAATTCGGATAGGCGGTGGCCCAGACATGGCGGCCCCGTCGCGACTTTTAACGATCAAGCATCCACACTTTGCCCTCCTCCTAGATCTAGATTCAGAATGTTGACTTGACGATTGGATACGCCTGGCTGAGTCCAATCCTGCGCCTGCGCATCCCAAGTCGACGACTATAAGGCCCTTAACCTGTCGTTGCTTCGCACAAATATACTGAACGAGTTGAGGGCATTCATTCAAATGAAATTATTTTGTCAACCATTCTCATCGCAAAATGCTACTTCGTTACGCAGGCCAAATAAGTTTGGTAGATGAGGTTGCCCACATTTTGCGCAACTGCGGCACGATTTGCAGGTGTAACGCATGCATCTTATGTGATTGGGGATCTAGTGCCGAGCTTGTATGCCACCACATTTGCATTCCTCAAGTTTGACCCTGGGGTCAGTGCATAGAAGGAAGCACGAATGGCCCCAGGTGCGAGCATGCACGAATTTCAGCTAAACCGCGTGGACGTCTTGCTGGTTAAATCAAAGCACCTGGCAGAAGGCCTGGGCGTAGCTCTTTGTGCGCAATTTTGGCTCATCTTCAGTGGAGTAAGCCTTTGGACAAAGTCGCCAATTTGTGCATCATCGTGTGCACATTGATGCTTGCAGATTGCAGGGAGAAAGATATGCGGAGTGACATGAAGGAGTATTAGCCAGGTCTTGAAGACCTGTCGGGACTCGGAAGCAATAACATGTATAGACGGCCTCAAGCCTTACGTCGATATTTAAGACAATATATGCGCCGTTGCCTTGTGATTAGCATTGTACACAGGAAATACCCAGATCGCTCCAGGCTCAGGCGTTTTAAGTTTTCGGGTATACAAATGCAGTACCGGTCACAGGTTTTATGTATTCGTAGATTGCTTATATAAGGATCATGAAGTAGCGGATTCTTGGTAATGCATATTTGAGAATCGGGTCTTTGGGAAAAGGCTGTTTCCATCTGTACTTGTAAGCGAGGCCGAATACCATGGGAACCTTCCTTGGAGGCTTCAGGAATCTGTTTGGTTACTTCACATCGCTCCATAAGGCGGCTGAAAAACAGGACCTGGCGGAACTAAGAATACAGGTGCAGAAGCACCCGTCCGACGTGGACGTACAGGAGGCAAACGTAAGGAAAGAGCAAAAGGTTTAACCGGACGTGGATCGCCTCTGATCTCTAGGGCGTCTACCACTTTGGACCATTGCGACATACCGATAGTCGTTCGGGCCCGAACCGAAACGCCGAACCTTCCTTCTCCAAGTCGCGCCTATGTGAATCACTTGATGAACATTGTAGCCATTAGGGTTTGCCCCAAGACCTGTGTATGCGCGTAGCACTGGCAGTGACCTGGCCTCAGCCTCAGGTCTGCCCTAAAGCCCCCCATCTCCTCACCCTCAATCCATACCATATGGCAGCTTTGCCGGATTTCCCTTTCCGCGACCCGCGGTCTTCATTATAACAGCTCCTAGCGGCCATCCCCCCTCCCACCCTACCTCTGGTAGTGTTCCTCCTCCCATCCGTGCCCTTGGATAGGTTGGCATTGCTATTCACCTGGCTTCACAACATGCTTCAGCTGCTTTGCGTTGCATTCACTTTCCGGGACGCGCATGCCACACCTGTCAAGTCCTTGCCTTGCCTTGCATCCCGTTCCATAATCCTCGCAATTATGAGCTAGGGGCAGAGCTGCCTGATTGCTCTGGACATGGGCAGTTGGTAGTTTTGCATTCTTGCACATGCCGGCCCACTCCTTAACCGCCTCTGCCGTACCAACACCACGACCACCATTACCACGCCAACCGACTTTCCCGCCATCCCGCTCTTTCTCTCGCCGCTGCCCTACCTTGCTGCCCTACCTTGCTGCCCTACCTTGCTGCCCTACCTTGCTACGCTGCCTGCACTCACCCAGATGGGTTGGACACCCCTTCATGTGGCCGCGGACAAGGGCTTCGATCCCGGCGTCAGAGAGCTGCTGGCGCGGCGTGCCAAACCCGACACGCAAGATAAGGTGCGCCACCTTTCCTGCCGGCCTGCTTGCCCAAGGTCGTTGCAGAGCTCTCTTGCACACGCCCACCTCCAACCCCCGGAACCCCGTCCATGCGCCACCTCCCCCGCGTTTCGTCCGAAGAGCCGAAGTCCTGGGGTAACACCTGGGGTAACACTGGGAGCGCCTAGAGTTACCTCCACCACCAAGATGACTATTATCGTTTTCTTCGTCTTCTTCATCATCAATACCATCATCATCATCATCATCATTATCATCATCATTATCATCATCATTATCATCATCATTATCATATTCATCATCATATTCATCATCATATTCATCATCATTATCATGGTCGGCGCTATCCAACTACATATAACCAGGATCCCATCCCACTCCGCGGTGCCCCTGCCCCCCAGGATGGTCGTACGGCACTGCACCTGGCTGCCGACCGGGGATATCGCAAAGTGGTGGAGGACCTCGTCCGGGGGGGGGCGTCTGTGAGCATCAGAGACAAGGCGAGGATCAGCGCGGGGGGGGGGGGGAGGGTAGGGGGAGGGGGGAAAGACGAACCACACACGATTGAAGCTGCTGCCAGGGCAAGAGAGTAACAAACGTAGAACTGACCGAAAGGCGTCCGTGGCGACCGTGACCTCGGGATGACGAAGTGGAGAAGATGTCGGGGGGGGGGGGAGAAAGGGGGAGGGAGGGGGCTCAGGTCTGGTCCTCCTGGCCCCCCTAGGGCGGCCCTCTTAGGGACTTGGGTTCGCAGTGAGAGAGGAGAGGTATGTATCGGAGTAATGCACGGCAAGGGGCAGGGGGTAATGTGCAGAGGTGGCTCAAGCGCGGCCTCGGGGCCTCGGGCTCAGGGATGAATGAAGCGGAAGATGAATGAATGAATGAATGAAGGCGCACTGGTAAAGCAGTCCTAACGTTATTGTTGTTGGCTCAATATGGTGCGGCTGCTGCGACTGCTGCTGCGCAAGAGCTCTCTTGCAAAGCCCTGTGCTCCGGACTGCCATGCCTTAATGCATACTTCTGACCAGTACAGTTGGGGAGAACACCGTACGACAACGCCGTACAGCGGCATCCTACCATTGCCGCGCTTTTGGGCGGTCCATCACTCGCGCCTCCGATGCAGCAGCAGCAGCAGCCGCAATTGGCACAGATGGCCGCCACTCAGCAACGGCCGCCGCCGCCGCCGCCGCCAAGTATTCGAGCGTCGCCGAGTTCATCCGGCTCCCTTCCCAGTGTACATCGCGGGCAGCTGCCGGCAGAACCATTGCTGCCGTCGCCGCCGGCGGCAGCGGCAGCGGCAGCGACTGTGGCGGCAGACCCCTCGCACCTGACGGCACCATCCCCAGCGGGGCCCAGCCCCCCCGACATGTACGACACTGGTGTCATGGCTGCCCCGCAGCCGTACCGACAGCCTTATGTACAGGGCACTCCGACTCATCAGGCCCCAACCGCACTCCTTTCGTATCCTGTCGTACCCGGCGTATGGCAGCCGCCCGGCGGCGGAAGTGGCAGCGGCGGGGTTGGTGGCACATGTACACAGGCGCAGCGCGGTGAGCCGCCGCAGGTGCCGCTCCACCCGCCGCCGCCGCTGCACCCACCCCAGCAGTCGCAATACCCGCTGCCCCCAGAGCCGCCAAAGCCAGAGTCGTACGCTCCACAAGTATGGCCACGGCCGCCGGCTACAGGTGCTGCGATGGAGAGCGGTTCCGCAGACCGGGGGGTTATCCGCGGTGGAGGTGGCGGAGGCAGCGGCGGCGGCGGAGGCAGCGGCGGCGGCGGAGGCAGCGGCAGCGGCGGAGGCAGCGGCGGCGGCGGAGGCAGCGGCGGCGGCGGAGGCAGCGGCGGCGGCGGAGGCAGCGGAGGCGGAGGCAGCGGAGGCGGTGGCAGCGGAGGCGGAGGCAGCGGCATCTCCGTGGGAGTGGAGGGGACCCGTGGGTCTGTCAGCGCCGCCGGGCCCGAGGACCTGGACTGGGGTGGTCCCAGTGCGCCCTCAGGCTGGGGCGGCGAACCCGGTGGGTGTGTGGCCCTCAGTTACCATGCAACAGGGTTTATCTCAGTTGTTAGTTGTTAGTTGTACGCCAGCGATATTTAATGACTATGTGAGGCCGGTGCCCCGTGTTGTGAATCCCTCTGGGAGGTTGGGACGAGAGTACGACGGGTCCATGGCGGACGATGACACATAATCCTTCTGTGTCTTCTCACGCCACTTAATTAAGTCTTAATTTAAGACCTCGCCCCTACGCCACCTCGCCGCCGTTTGCCGCCCTTTCCCCATCCCCCTGTCGTACACACACGCACACGCACACGCACATACACACACACACGCATGCACAGACACAGACCTGGCGCCGCCACCATCCGCCGCCTTCAACCGCCCCAACTTCAACCCCATCGCGAGCGCAAGGGTGCAGCTTGAGCGGCTGAGGGACGGGGGATTGGCCCTCCTCGGCATCGCCCCTCCGCGACCCGGGCCCCAACCCGCCACCGCCCCAGCCCCCGGCTCCCTCCCCGCCAGCAGCGACTTACGGGACCACAGCGCATCCGCTGCGTGGACGGTTTCCTCGGTCTCGTCCGGCGCCAGTACGACGCTCATAGGCTGTCGTACATATTCGTACGAGGAGCTCCAAGCTGCTACGGGAAATTTCAACCCTCTGAACAAGCTGGGGGAGGGCGGGTACGGCCCCGTGTATCGTGGCTTGCTGGACGGGATACCGGTGGCGGTGAAGGTCCTAGATACGAGCGCCGGCTGCTTGCAGGTCTGGGGGGCGGTGGGCAGTGGGCAGTGGGCGGGTGTTGCATGCAACACTCGGTTCACATTCAGAAGCATTGATGGGTGATAATGTACAATACATGGTGGGTAATGTTGCATGGCATGCGCAAATGCTGCGAGCCTCACCATGTGCGAGCTGGAACGATGTGTGTCGTTAAGGCCTGCCATCACTTACGTACCTGCACTAGCTCGTCATGAACCAACCTTCGGTAGCACATAACCCCCCCGAAGCTGCTCCATGATTCGTCCGAAGCACGTTGGGTGTGGAATCGGCTATATCAGCTCCGAAGTCCTTTCGATCCAAAGAAGCCCCTGTTGTACGGCACGGCTAGGGACGAGGGAACGGCAACCGGTTCCGGTGGCTAGGTCGAGTGTGTGCGCGGGCGTGTTTTTTTTTGGGGGGGGTTGAGGTGGGTGGGGATGTGTGGAGGAGGTGATGATGAAGGGTACGACTACTACTCAGCACAACACAGCGCACCTGCCGCCTCCTCTCCCCCACAGGGAGAACGTGGGGGATTATGTGCCCCAGCGGCGGGGCCTCCCGAGTGTGTTGGGTTAGCCGCACAGCGCCTGTAACCTCCTCCCCCACCTGCCCTACCGGGGCTCCCTATCGGAACCTACCCACCTCCACCTCCACCTCCACCACCACCTCCCAACTCCAACTCCAATTCAACTCCACATTACCCATGTGCTTCAGGGCCGGTCTGAATTCGAGTCGGAGGTCCGCATCTTGTCCTCCCTGCACCACCCCCACTTGGTGCTCCTCATTGGGAGTTGCCCGGATAGGGTGAGGGGGAAGGGGGGAAGGGGTGAGGGGGGGAAGGGGGGAGGGGGGCCCGGTGTTGAGGATGTGGGGGCAAACGGAGGGGGAGCTACGACGTGTATGTGTGTGTCTGGGGGGGAGAGGGTGGTGTTGGGTGTTGGTGATGGGGACATAGCCCCTACCTAGACGTATGTATGTATGTATGTATGGGTCCCCCATAACGCACTTGTTCATCTCCCCTCCCGCGCCAACTCCGACTTAAAAACGAAGCTACCTCTCCTTAGACAGGAGGAGAAGGGCGAGGAGGAGAAGGGCGAGGAGGAGAAGGGCGAGGAGGAGAAGGGCGAGGAGGAGGAGAAGGGCGAGGAGGAGGAGAAGGGCGAGGAGGAGGGGGAGAGCCCTGCCAGTTCAACTCGCTGCTCCCTGCCCCTATCCAATCTGCGTCTTTTGGCATCCTTCCCGCGCCCAGGCCGTCCTCGTCTACGAACTGATGCGCAATGGCAGCCTGGAGACGCACCTCTTCAGCGCAGGTGACGGCAGCGGCGGTGGCGGCGGTACGGCCGCGTCGCTGCCGGCGCCGGCTACTGCTTCTTCTTCTGCTGCTGCGGCGGCGGCAGCGGCGGGAGGTGCCGCCCTTCGCGCTGGCCCCCACACCGTCGGGCTGACCGCTGGCCTATCTTGGCAGGACCGGGTCCGTATCGCCTCTGAGGTCGCCACCGCTTTGCTGTTCCTCCACACCTCGTTGCCGCCTGTCGTACACCGGTGAGTGGTGCTGGTCGGGTGCGTGGCGTGAGCGGTCGATGTACACCCCTCTGTGGCCTTGGCCTTGGTCGAGTAACAGTCCGACAATCTGACTCTGTCACGGTCTGTCACGCACCCATGACCTCCAACGGCGCCAGAAAACACATCCCTCAGCTCTCAGCCGAATGCATGGCGTTGTACATGTGCATAGAAGTACGGCAATGAAGTCATGTAGCGCGAAAAGTAAGGCTGAAAAAATTTCCCTTTGGCGGTTGCGGGTTATTTCTCCCGAGGAGGGAGAGGGAGGGAGGGAGGGAGGCTGGGGCCCTGCGTATGTTGAAGTCGAGGCGCTCAGGTGCGGGGCGCAACTCCCCCACCCGCGGCCGCAGCCCCCTCCACAGTCTCTACCGCGAACCGCAACCCCGACCTCCTCTCCTCTCTCCAGTTCTTTCGCCCAGCCCGGCCTGGTCCACCCCATGTGGGTCGTTTAGGGTTTCCCTGCCGCTCGCCTGGGTCACTGACCCATGGGTCGTAGCTTTTCCATTTGCCGAGCGCGTGCCCGAGAAAACCCCCTGAACTTCCTTCCCACTCCCATCCGTCATTCCGAGCCCCCCCTCCCTCCCCCCCCCCCCGGGTCCCTTCCCGTGAAGGGATCTGAAGCCCGCCAACATCCTGCTGGACGCGCACATGACCGCCAAGCTGGGGGATGTGGGGCTGGCCAGCCTGGTGCCCACCTTGGCGAGGCCCGCGGGGCACAGTGCAGGAGCAGTGCAGGGCATAAGTTGCGGCGGCGGCGGCGGCGGCGGCGGCGAGTCCACTGTCCTGGTGGGTGGTAACGGTATCCATGGGCCGTACAGTGTACGACTCCGAACCGCGAGCGGCTCCAATGTGCCGACCGGCATAAGGGGTGGACGGCGGTTGCTGGTGGCTGGTGGTGGTTACCCCACCCGGCTGGTGGGAGTATTATATAATAATTAGTTAAGTTAGTTGGTATGCATAAGGCCCTGTTTATCTCCCCCCGAGGGTCGTGTCTTTTATGTGTTTCCTGCATGTGATGCCCCCCTCGCCCCCTCGCCCTGGCACACCTGATGTTTTTTTTTAATGTTTCGTGCTGAATGATCCTCGCAAACCCCTCATATCCTCTTTCCCTCGTCCCGCCTCCCTCCTTTCCATGTTGTGGTTACACGTCTTTCCCCTCCCCGGCTCTCTCTCCTCTCCCCTCCGTCTCTCTCCTCTCCTCCTCTCTCCGCCGCCGCCTGGTCAGTTATGCCTTTCTTCACATCTGCCGCAGCACTCTTTCCTTGGCAGCAGCTTCACTCGCTCGTGGTTCGCCTTTTCCTCCTCCTTAAACCCCTCCCCTCATCTCTCCCCCCCCCCCTCATGCCTCGTCACGTGGGCCCCAGGATTCCAGGCTGGTGGGCACCTTTGAGTACATGGACCCCGAGTACCTCCATACAGCCCAGTTCTCGCCGAGAAGTGACGTGTATTCGCTGGGGATGGTGATGCTGCAGATGCTGACGGGGAAGCGGGGCAAGCAGGTGCGGCGCGGTTGGGGCTCTCTTGTATCGCTCAGTAGGCAGGCTTGTGTGCAGGAGGAGGAGGAGGAGGAGCAGGAGGGGGAGAGGAGGAGGAGCAGGGGCCTCGCTTCGTTCAGCACATGGGTGCAGGACGGTGTAGTAGTAGTAGTAGTAGTAGTAGGCAGGTAGACGGCTTAGCTAGGTGTCGGGTGCGTGGTGTCGTGTTTGCGGGCGAACTCGCGCAGGTGGCGCGGCACACGACTTGAACCCAGGATGGCCGCACGGCCTGGGTGGATGGGTGGAACAGAGGAACATGTACCCCGTGCGGAAGGTTGGGAAACGATTGCTGCTGCGCTGAGCTATGTAGTCGCTGTGTCGGAAGGGGTGGTCCGGGGGGTCTCAGTCCCCTAGGGGGGGCCATGGAACGGGTGGCCCGGGGCTCTCTTCCCCAACCGCGTCCTCATCCTCCCCCTCACCTGCGGGGTGGGGCCACTCCGGTGGCGGGTACCACATGCGCGGGTGGTGATCACCAGGCGCCAGCTGGCGATGCCCCACCTCACCTCCCCCCGCCTCACCCCCCCCGCCTCACCCCCCCGCACCTCACCCCCCGCACCTCACCCCCCGCACCTCACCCCCCGCACCTCACCCGCCTCACCTCACCCGCAGGTGTTCTCCCAGGTGGAGGCGGAGCGCCGGGACCCGTTGGGCTTTGGTCCCTGTATTGACCCTCGAGCAGGTACCTGGCCGGTGGCGGAGGCGGCTGCGTTCGCCGACCTGGCGTTGCGCTGCGCGTCGCCCAGCCGCCAGGACCGACCTGACCTCAGGTGTGTGTAGTCCGCAGTGCCGTACACTGCAGTACATGGCAGTGCAGTGGAACCCAGTTAGTTATTCCTCGTAATTTGCTCGTTGGTCGGAGACCAGGGACCTGGCTTGAACAAGAGCGGGTGCGTGGGCTTCTCTCTCTCTGTGTGTGTGTATGTATATGTGTATGTGTAAGAGGGAGGGTAGGGAGGGGGGAGTGGGGCCGGAGGGGCCTCTCTGGGGACCGGCGGCTCTTCATGTCGGCTGCTGTCGGGGCCACTGCTACCGGCTGCCGCCCGCACCACTCCCGCCGCCACCATAGCCGCATCACATCGCCGCACGGGTGGCACCAGAAGTACGTACCCAGGACGGCGCCGTACGTGGCTTCCGACCTACCAAGGTTCCACACGCCGCACCCTCCATGCAGCTGCGCCAACACACACACACACACACACCCAAACCAGCAGCTTCACCCACTCGTGGTTCGTCTTTCCCCCCCCCCCCCAAGCCCCCCCCAAAG